TCTTATTCATCTATTCAGTCTGACCGTTAGTCTCTGGATAACGGCCAAATGACATCAACAACTTGGAGCCATAGACTCTCATCAACTCCTCCTAGTTCTGACTAGTGAACCGGGTGTCTCTATCGCTAACTATAGACAGTGGAATCCCGTGTTCACTGACCCAATGATCAAAGAACTTCTAAATCACTACATTTGTGCGTGCCTCTGAAGGCAAAGGAACAAAAACAACATACTTACTGAATCTATCAACTATTACCATGACTTGGCTCTTGCCGTGCCTACTCTTGACATGGGTGTCCATAAAGTCAACGGACACCGAATCTCTTGGCTGATGAGGAATAGGCAAGGGTCTGAGAAGACCTAGAGGGGCACGCGTAGAGGTCTTATTTCTTTGGCAGACCTTACAACTGGGAACCTACTCTATGCAGTCGGCCTTCATCCCATGCCATATATACGCGCGCATGAGGTTAGCTAGAGTCTTTTGCCAACCAAAATGTCCCTCAGTATCGTGGCATTCCCCTAGGATCAAACTACGGACCTCTTCACTATTAGGAATGCACAATCGGTCAACTACGTTAGTCTTTTCGAATAGTAGCCCATCAGTAGTGCGGTAATCTGGTTCTGACTCTGGGGCCTCCTTTACTCTCTTGAGGAGGTCACTATAGATAGGATCCTGCGCATACGCCTCTCTAACTTTTTGTTGCAGGTCTCTCCCTATATCCAGATAATGAACTATTGCTCCAAAATAATCAGCTCTCCTACTCGAAGCGTCTGCAACTACATTATACTTCCCTTTGACGGGCTTGAGCTCAAAATCATATTGGTCTAACTCTGCGGCCCACCTAGTAAGCTTAGGTGTCCTCTTGGCCTGCGTAGGTCCACATGTAACCTATGTTACCGCGCGTTCATTGAACGCGCGTTCCGCGTTCAGTTTATGAACGCAGTGAACGCGCGTTCACTGAACGCCCCTGAACGCGATTGACGCGTTCACTGAACGCCCCTGAACGCGCGTTCACTGAACGCCCCTGAACGCCTTGATACACGCAATCTGCAATGATCCCACCTCATTCCCTTCTCTGCTATGACATTGGCTCTTCTTCTTACCTGTGCACGCGACTAGACACTCCATAACTGAACGTGGGTGATCTTACACCTAGTGCACACTCAGGTGGAAGTGATGCGAGCGCTAATTACTGCAGGAGTTGTTACTACAAGACAGTCAAGAGGCAATGACTACAATCGAGGATGCCACATCCTCTCAAACGTTCAATCTTCAGGTAAGATGATAACTATCAAAGAGTGTCATTAATGCCGTACACCCTAACACAACACCCTTCTATGATAAAGTCTAATGGGAGATTATAATATGACCCTCAGATGAGCTGCTATGGGTGCTAGGCAGCGAAAAGCGCGCTTCAGGACGTGCACCCCCCCTATGGCTGTCTTCAACAGCCATCGCTAACCTCAACTTAACCTCTAATTTACTCCCCCCTTATTGATGTTTGATGATTAACACGCATCCTCCAGTTATGGAGTTTATGACTAAGTTATGTTTCCCCTCGTAAACCCATTTTGTGTTAACCCTATTGCTAACTTCTCGCCGATGTACGATTGGACAGATACATGGTTTTGTTCCCCATAGTATATATGGGGTAGCCGTGTTATACACACACACACACACACACACACACACACACACACACACACACACAGATAGAGATAGATAGATAGATAGATAGATAGATAAATATATATATATATATATATATATATATATAGAGAGAGAGAGAGAGAGAGAGAGAGAGAGAGGGCATGGTCTGTGAGGCCACACCAACCTACCTCACTTGGAGTATTATGGCAGATTTCATCTCTGTTCCAGATCTGGAGGGGGCTGGGCCACAATGGTGGGTGAGCACTTCTTGAAATTGCAAAAACCTTGCTCTTTCCAAACGTGGGAGTTTGCTGGTCACTGCAGGAGGCAAGGTGGACCCCAAGGACGAGAACACAAGGTACCTGCTGAATTCTGCAGGAGTTGATGATAAAGTAGAGACTGGAACGGAAGGAGAGGATGCATCTGCTTATGCGAGCCACAACCTCTTGTTGCGGGGTGGTCTGTCATGGGCATTGTTTGGATGTTTGCAGCAGCCGATAAGGGGACTGGTGAGGGGGAGTGGTTACGTGGATGAGTCTGTCAAGCAGTAGACCACTGTCCAAAGTGGGTAGACAATGGGGTATAAAATCGTTAGGTATTGTGTGGGCGAAGGCCATGTTCTTGGCTGGTATCAAGTTCAATTTCTTGAACATGGACACGACATTGCACAAGGTGTACTTGGAGGTGCTGCATGCGAGGCTGAAGATGAAACTCCCATCCTACAAGCACATGGGAACCATTATGCGCGATTTCATCTTCCTGCGTGTCAAGAGGGCAGTGCAAACATTTACTCAATGTTGGGAGGAGTCGGGCTGCACTTGGATCATTAACAGATCAGTTGATCGCAAGAACCAAGCAGTGATGAAGTCCCTGGTAGCTGGGGAGTTGTACGACTGACCACGGTCCCAATGCTAGAAAGAAAGACTGCTGTGGCATTGCCTGAATAATGGGAGCGGCTAGGAAGATTGTCACTCCCGGTCGAGCACCCGGGTGTGACACCCGGGGTACTTGGGCGTGCTTTTTTTTTTTTTTTTTGCGATTTGAAACGGTTTTCACCTGTTAGCAGTAGCGAATGCAGACCCCAGGGCTCGGTCCCTAGTTCTCACCTTACATGTGTACAGTATCGAGCTGACCCCTGAGTGTTTGAACTTGTGACCTGCGTTTTGTTAGTTGTTGTTTGTCTGTCGTAGGTCTGTGTGGTTGTAGGGGTCCGATCTGTAGATCTGTCAAGTAGGAGTTCCAGCTCTGTAGAGGTCGTAGCTATAGGTATTCTGAAAGGTCAAGGTCGTAGCTGCTACAGTCCTGAAAGGTCAAGGTCGTAGCTGCTACAGTACCCGGAAGGCCAAGTCCACAGACTTCCGGAAGATCCCGGAAGTGGCCTTTCGGAGTGGGCTCACGTTTAGACAGAGGCAAGTGGGCAAGTGGTGGAGCCAACCTCAGTATGTTGGCAGGGCGACTGCAGTGAGTCCGCGGTGCCAACCCATGCAGTCAACGGTACCGGTCCAGTCAGTCCCAGTCCAATCCAGCGAGTACCATGAGGGACTGTGTGCACTATGGGCCGATGGAAAAGGGCAGACCAGCGAGTTACAAAAGTATAAATCAAGAGTCCATTCCTGCGTGAGCCATGCGGAAGCGCTGCTACAACGACTTGTGTGAGGTGGTCTGCAGTGAGCCCGAGGACGAAGTGGGGGAGAAGGAAGCTTATCCATAGCGATAGGGTAGCAGCGGCCATAGCCGCCATAGCTGTAGATGTGTGCGGGTGTGTGTGAGTATACAGAGTGTGATGTGCGTGGGATATCCAGGGTAATCCTGTGTGCGAACAACAGTGTCGAGTAAGTGACGAACAGAGAGTTGTACAGGCGATGTGCCGCCATAGCCATTCGAAGTGAGCTTGTATCTGAGCTGCGTTCTTGGTTACTATATCTCTGAGTTCTGAGTGGGCGCTTGACGCCAGTTTGCTACGCAACTTGTTTGCATGCATGCAAAGTGTGAATGAAAGCGAGTCTGATTGCGCTGGTATCAGAGCTGGTACCCGCTATCCCATGCGTCATCGTCGTTGCAGCAAGAGAGAGACGCGCGCCATAGGGCGCCACAATTGAAGAGCGCCACCGTGAAGAAGCAGTCCGCCATAGCTCCGCTGCGGAAGGAGGTGATGCGTACCTGCACAGAAGACAACGACAAAGAAGAGAGAGAGAGAGAGAGAGAGAGAGAGAGAGAGAGAGAGAGAGAGAGAGAGAGAGAG